CACAAGGGCCGGGCCGCCGAGAGGGCAGCACCTGAGGGGCCCGAGGAGGAGGAGGCGAACGAGAAGATGCCGCAGTCGTCGTCGTCGCCGTCGCGGGGGGACTCGGGGGAGGGCAGCCCGTCCAGGGCCCCCAAGAAGCACAGCTCCTTCCACATCTGGCGCTCCAAGAAGAAGCAGCCCCCGCCGCCGCCGTCGCCGTCCGAGTGTGGGGTGTTCGTGCCGCACCCGCCACTGGACGAGGCCAGGTAAGCATGCCACCTCCTCCTCTGCGGGGCCCCGCTTCCCTCCTGCTACCTGACGGGGTCAGTGCCCACCGACTGGCGCTGTGGAAGCCCCGGGGCAGGCGAGACAGGCAGTCGCCAGGCTACTGCAGGTGACCCATTTCTCGTGGCCCCTGGCTGTGCTTGCGTATCTGGGAGAGAAATGTGTGCTCGTCCATTCTTTTAATGGACGTATCGACACTAACGAGCTGTTCGCTAACGAGAGCTGGAGGATATGACCAGAATGACGGACGATGGAAACTCATCTTCCCTCTATCAGCCTTTGGGTCTGAGAGCTTTGATTATGAAAATCTCCCACCACACGCACCGGTGTTCAGCTTCCATTGGGATGGCTACTCCGATTTGAGGCATGGAGAAACTGCGAAAGGGTGAATAAATGGCTTATCTCCAGCGTTTTGAGTGGTAAAATTAGGCAGCACTTGGTTTTTCAAAGTGTCATTGCCATGGTGATTCCCCGCCTCCTCTATTTCTCGGTGGTTTTAGTCTCCGTGTGTGTTTATTTTTACTATCTGACTTGAGGTATTCCTTGAACGAAAATCAATAGGAAATAACCGCAAATGTATATGGTTAGCAGAGTGTGGGGTGTTTTTGATGAAAGACGATGGAAAATACCTAATAAATTCTTCTGTATGCGTTTTCGAGGCCAGGTAAGCGCGCTACCTCCTCCAGCCTGACCAGAATAAAATTGTGTCTGGCAAGATCTGCATTTTCAACCCGTTTCCCTTTTATTTCTTAAAAAAGAAACTTTTCCATCTTTTTTCATTCATTCAATAAAAGAATTATTGAGTGCCAGGCTCTTAGCTAAGTGCTGAGTGTTAGAATAGCAAAACAAAACAGGTGTGATCTCTGCCCTCAAAACTTATTAGATTCTTGTCGAGATCAAAAGTAAACAGTAGGGCCAATGCCACTTAGCGGTCCCAGGGCAGGTGAGAGGGGCCCGGGTGGCTTCCCAAGGAGGAGGGTGCCCAGAGTGGCTGAGTCACCCAATGTCACTTAGCGGTCCCAGGGCAGGTGAGAGGGTCCCGGGTGGCTTCCCAAGGAGGAGAGTGTCCAGAGCGGCTGAGTTACACAGAAAAGGGCGGGGAAACAGTTACAGGCAGGGTTCCCACCCTGAATACCACCAACACTGAGAACAACAGTGTGGAACTTTCTGGAAAGCCAAGTGGCACAGGGCAGTCTGAGTATGTGTGAAGAGGTGAAGGAGAAGTATTTAGAAAGAGGGCATTTTTCTTTATCTTGTATTAATATAGTATACAGCATACTTAGTACAGCATAACGAAACATTTTTATTTATCCAAAGACTTCTATGTATAGTTATGGATTAAAATTTCACAACAAATATGTTAATATGTTAAATTTCTAACAAAACGTTACTGAATAACGTTCACTATTTTCCTGTTACCCCTGTAAATCCATAAAATGTTTCCATAGTAATTTTTTAATCGGACTTAGTTCCTTCATTTGCTATCTATCAAAATGCAAAACGATTCAGCTATGATCTCTTTGAATGAAAATACTGTTTAGACTAAAATTTAGACAAACTTTTTGCTTCTCGGCTGGAAGCTCTCATATTTTAGATCAGTCCTCAAGCACCCATTCTTTCTTTCAGAACGAAGGTGAATGTGGTATTAGCAAATGTTCTGAAAACTAAAGGCACCGATTTGGATTTGAGATAGTTTTCTAGTTAGATCACCTTTGTGATAATTCATTTACTTCTGAGATCGTGTACCTATTTCCAGTCTAAAGAGAGAACGACGGCATGGTTAGGTTTCAGGTTAGTCTTCACCGGTGTGGCTTTTTAGAGCCATCTGATCATGTTTGCTCATATCTGTCCAGAACTTGGAGGTAGTGGTACTCAGC